GTTATTATTATTATTATTATTATTATTATTATTTTCTTTTATTTCTATTTTACATACATTTCTTTCCGGGTCCTAACTAGGGACATAAGGTCAGAAATGGCAGCATGACATTTTCCACTGATCATTTAAAAAAATAAGAAATAAAAAATCTACGATCATACGCATTTTACACAGCTAAAACTTCTCGTAATGTGTAAAGACAAAACTTATTAAGAGCTACAAGTTAGATGTGGAGGGCTATGGTCGCCTGCGTCCTGAAAAGACGCGGTATATGAAGGAAGAAATAGGAAATCTATTGTAGCTTTTAATTCACTTTTAATACAAAGTTTATTCCATGGAAAAGAATTCTGTGCGTTGGGTTTTAAAGAAGACTACGAGAAAATTTTACACACTTATTATTATTTTTAATATCGATTATTATTATCATTTTTATTTCCTTTGATTTCTGGCGTGTACACATTTCTTTCCGGGTCCTGCCCAGAGACTTAAGGTTAGAAATGACTTCATGACACTTTCCACTGACAATATATATATATATATATATATATATATATATATATATATATATATTACATAGATAAAGCCCTTCGTAAAGTGTGGGTTGTACTTGTGAGAACAATTTTTTGTATCTCTTTGAGGCATAGACTTCCAGAAATTATTATCATTATCATTATTATTATTATTATTATTATTATTATCAAACAAAATATTTGACTTAACTTTTCCAATATTTTTTATCATTTAAATAAGAGCGCCATTTAAAAAAAGGAAAAGAAGATAAGGGGAGTACTTAGGAACTTTCTAACCTGTTGCCCATCAGCGATTTATTGCAACGTTCTGACTTACATGAACTTTAACTTTTAAGAGAAAATGTCGTTAAACGTATACACTGATTTTGCAAGATTCGTTTCTTGTCTTTGTTTCGACAGCTGTACACTTCGGCTTTCTTTCCTGAAATTTTGCGACAAATTATTTTGAATAAGATTCGTTGAGAGCTTAACTCGAGCTTAGACACATTCGACATCCTCTTAAGAAAGGTGTGTTATATTCATTCCAGTACTTGTCACGTCAGGTAAATGAAGTTAACACCCTCTACACTAACGACGAAAATTCAGAGGGATAAAGACCCCTACCAAAAACAATGCAACCCACTAGTAGACTCCATAGACTCAGATATATACTCAGTTTATATCTATGCTTAGATTCGAGTACAACCTCTACAATTATCAACCTAAGGACTCAAGTGTAAAGAAGATTTGTGTCAACCTATATACTCAAGCGTAAACACGATCTATATCAACCTAAATATTCAACTGTAACAACGAGCTATGTCAAGTTATATACTCAAGTGTAAACACGAACTTTATCAACCTCTATACTCAAATGTAAAAATGAGCTATGTCAAGTGTAAACACGATCTTTATCAACCTCTATACTCAACTGTAAAAATTGAGCTATGTCAAGTTATATACTCAAGTGTAAACACGATATATGTCAGCCTATATGCTCAACTGTAAAAACGAGCTATTAACCTATATGCTCAAATGTAAACACAATCTATGTCAACCTATATATTCAACTGTAAAAGCGAGCTATGTCAAGTTATATACTCAATATTTGTATTTAATAAAAATATTTTTATGGTTGCATAGAATTTTTAAACATACCTGAACAAGACAGACATAATGACGAAATATTGTTAAACATTTTCTTTTCTTTCTTGTTTCTTAAATCGATCTCCTTTTTAAGTATTATTATTATTTTTATTCGACGTTTCTTATTGCTTTTGTTGTTGGTGGTGTTGTCATGAATAATATCCCATGAGTAGGTATTTTATCGTTGTAACCGACATTAATGTGTCCTTTTCTTATTAACTTTATTTTTGTTGCTATACGTAGTGTTAGAATTAGTATTAATTGTATTTGCAGTAGAAGTATTGCCATTAATATAATATCGTCTGCTTTCATCGAATTTCCTTGCGATTTTCCTTTCTAGGGCTGCCGAAACTGTTAAAGATGATGGTGATGCCAATAATGCTATTGTTGTTGCTATGGCTGGGGCGGTTTCAATTTGTATGCATCCTGCATATCCGTCCTAATTGATGTTATTATCATTTTCAGGCGTGTTTCAATTATAAAACGCAAAGACTCCCGGTCTCATCTTGGGTTTGGTTCGTACCGGGTGGGAACGGAAACGATGCGATCGAAACTTCTAGTTTCCTCCCTCCCCCACCGAACAAACAATTCCCCAGTCGTAATATAGGAAAGGAACGAGGGACAAATAGCATTTGAAAAAGGTTTTAGGCGCATAAATTTGAAGGTTGGGGTGATAAGGGGTCAAAGTTAGAGGTCTCTGTCTTAGTGCAATTTTTAAAAATCATTTTCGAGCAAGCTGTAACCAAATAAAAAACGGAGTAATTAAGGAAGTGTTGATATCAGCAGCCGGGATTTCATTTTTCGAATGCCATCGAAATGGGAATAGAAAATATTGGCATATTTAATATTTCATCCAAAGCAATTTTATTTTTGAATAATTTTCTTGGGAAAGGAGTTGACAATGAATAACTATTAAGCTATGAAATCTGGATAAAGCAGATCTGTCTCGAAAGCATGTAACCTCTAAAAACCGGTTGCGCAGCCTTGATGTAACAACCGATTTAAGGGGTATTTATCGTGGAATTACTCAGCGGTCAGACGCCGTTGAACGAGCTTGCGTACCGTGTGTCATTCGCAATCACAATGACATATTCAGGGATTTTTTGGCAACAGATCGCATTATCTCAGGCTACTCGTACCATGTAACCAAAAGCTACCTGCAGCATGGTGAGATTATCGGCAACTAGGGATTTGTAAAAGCTGAACCTCACTGTAAAAAATAAAAAAAGTTGCTCTGTATGCATCCAGTACAGTGATGTCAAGGTATCGTTTGGGCTGCGGGGAGGTGTCCCTAGACAGAAGTCAAGATCCAGGTTCTCTCGATGGAATCATCGGCCACGTAACCGTGAAGAGGGCGAGCTTTTTACTTGTGGAGGGAACATCGGTTATTGTTTGACCTGGATAGGGATCGCCTCCGCATTGTCTACTTGCCCAAGATACGCCACGCATGAATGAACGACACTCCGTCTTGCAAGTCTCATATGTGGAGGGAACTGCTCAGGTGCCCACTGGCGCGGCAAACCTACGACCACACCCAGGCACGCGACTGATGATGATCATCATCATCATCATATTGCATCATATAGATCTTTCAGCTCCCTTGCTCTACTCTTACGTTGCCTTGATGAGACCTCTGGCTTTTTCTAAAGTTAAAATCGCCGTCGAAATGCAACGGGCAAGATTAAAGAAAACGCAACCAAGCCGTTGATCGTAATACTAATGGTAATATTAGCCATTTCCTTGTATGGTAACAGTAATTTTAATGGTAGCCGTTTCCTTGACCGAGCAGCAAGTGTTCCTTGAGTGACGTTTTTCTTTATTTCTTGGTCATCTGACTAAGATCAAAGTGTAGTATCTGTTCTTATCATTTCTAATTGTAATGTTAATATTAGCTGTTTCCTTATAAGTAAACATTCGGCATTCATTGACCGAGTAACCAATGCTATCGCCGGTTGAAATTTAAAATCTTTCTCTTGAAACAATTTTTCAAGAATATAGGTTTCTCGAGTCCAGTAGCTATTATTGCTCTTTCAAGTAATGATTGGCGGTTTCCTTACTAACCTTTTGTTTGACGTAGTGTGGAAGAGGATATCAAGTTGTAGCTCTTGTTGAAAAACTTGTGTCATATACTTAAATAGCCATATCAGGTGGAGATTTTTATATGGATGTCATGCATGGCACCAAAACTCGTTCGTAAATATCTAAACCCTCAGCTGTATACGATCATTTTCTAAGATGAATGGGTAAAAAATAGCTTTGAGCGAATGAAACATAGAGATCGAACCTCGGGGAGTGGCGCTACACAATTACTAATAAAAATTTTACCAAATGACAGAAATCACATCACGTGAGAATTTTCAACATGAGTAACAATTTGATATACTCTTCCACGAAATCGAACGTGGTGTAGACTGCGTTGGGTGTAGTTTCGCATACCACTGCTAGTTGCTACAAAGCCAAATTGTTTTGGCTTTGTAGCAACTGGCAGTGTTATGCGAAACTAAACCCAACGCACTCTATACCACGTTCGATTTCGTTATCTATACTGTGCTATATGCACCCTTGTGCAAAATAATTGAAACAATCGCTTTATTTTATTTTCTTTCACCATACAATCAGTTTTAGACCCACTGGAGCGTCAGGATGTAATCGATTTCTATTTTTCCTCAGATTACGTCATTTGCAGTGGTGTGCAGTAATATTTTCAGGATGTATGGTGAAATCTGTTTGGCCTTGAAAAAATATTGCCTCATCTGTGATTGTATCAGACTTTTTAGCACGCCCAGATACTATTGTTTCGACTATCGATTAGTTGTCATAGGACCATTGTCTGCGATGGACGTTACTCCAAGGAAGCGTACGAAAACTGTAACGCTGCACGAACGCACTGACAAGCTTTAACAGTGAGCAAATCAACGTACTATAGATTGGTACGGAAAGTCTCGTGATTTAAATCCATTCGGCAATCTGTGGTCATTCTGCAAGGAACGACTTCGTAGAATGGACATACGAAATACTTGTTATTCGTGATGACTGTCGTCTTCTAGTATAGAATCCAGAGGTTAGCAGTGAATATTTCGAAGACAGTAGGAAAGCGTTGTTCAGGTTAGCAGTGGATATTTTGGTAAAAGGTAGCAGAGCATAGTTCGTCCTTCTGTTTCTCTTCGCTTGACAAGCTGGACTGGACAGAGTTAACAAAATGGCCGCCTTTATACACGACGGATTGAATATTCTACGTCTTCTGATTGGTTAACCTTCTATTGGTGGACTATAAAGTGAGTCAAGCCATTTGGGATAACTCACTAGTACATATAGACAAAAAACTGCAACAATACTAACATGCGT